GAGCCATGCCCGGGACCGGGCCGGGCTTGGGCCCGACCGGGTCCAGTCCGAACACCGGGCCGGGCTTGTGCCCGACCGGGTCCAGTGCGGACATCGGGCCGAGCTCGGACCTTGGGCCCAAATCGACAGGCCTATCTACGAGGTTCAATATAATTTTGAAAGTTTAAGATGACATTCTTAATTTAATTACTAGTGTTCTGGTGTACGTGATGCGTGCATGACACAAAACATGAGGGAACATTATAGTCGAATACGAAGGAAACTGAGTGCTATTTTAAGTTTTTTTTTTTTTTCAAAATTTACAACTTTAAAGATATTTCTGTGACATTTTTCCATTGTGAGGTCATTTATGCTGATTTTTTTCTCAAGTATGAGAGCTTTTTTTTGTTGATTTGTTTCAAGTGCAAGGACATTTACATTGATTTTTCTAGGTGCAATGGCATTTTTGGAAATTTGAAAATATGGCTCACAGAGACTGAAATGGAGGCTTTTCTTAATAATATAGTATAGACAAATATGTATACATGCCGATAACAACTGAAGTGTAAGTGAGGCTCAACTACAACATATTAGTGATACACAAACGGAGAAGTGGAGTAAGATACAGAGTCATTGTTTATCTTTGTTATATTTATTGTTAATAGGTTTCGAGCTTGGTTAAGCCAACAATGCTAGTGTTGTATTGATTGTTTTTAAGTTGAACAGTTTAGCAGTATAGTTACTTGAGCAGAAGATTCGTTCAGAGTACTTCATTGCACAAATTTTCAAATTTGCTAATCTAAATATAGACATATACTTGGTGTATCATTAATGCAATAGATGTAGATCATGAGTACTCTCTCCTAAGTAAGAAGTTTCATTGAAAATGGCAGGGGTGCCAAACTTATAGAATTTAGACTGAAATTTTAGGCATGCGTTTAACATACTACCTTCAAGAAAAACAAGAATGGCAACAACAATAAAGTTAAAGATGATAATACCTTGGGGGAAAATCAAAGAAAAATTCTTCTAAAGTACTATTGATATAAATGGTCATTGATTTCAGCTTGATTAAGCTTATAACATTTGGTGTTCTCAACCTCACAAGTATATACTTGGAGCACTACAAGCATTTTCTCTAGTCACTTGTTAATCCATTGGTTTTGACCCTCAAGAACATTTATGTATGAAATATCTCCTATATAAGATTGCAGACAAAAACTCATTTAATTCATTTACATTCCAAAATGGATTCATCTTTATCAAAATAATTTAGTAATATTGTGATTGTTATAGATGGTTTCGGCTGTGGAGATACTTTATACTAGCGTGGGCATTATACTCCTCTTTCTTCACACCCTTGGAGTTTGGTTTCTTCCGTGGTCTCCCAAATAGCCTCTTCTGGTTCGATATCACAAGCCAGACTGCATTTATCATTGATATTGGCATCAATTTCTTTCTTGCTTATCGTGATAATCTTACTTATCGAATGGTCTACAAGCCGTACTCCATTGCTCTCAGGTATTTTTTTTTCCCTCTCAATAATTTCTATACGGTTTAGTTCGTTAAGCGTTGATGGTGGATGTCCACTGTTTGTTTGGTGTTTTTATCGATGCAGATATATGAAATCAAGTTTTCTCATAGATTTACTCGGTTGCCTTCCATGGGACGCTATCTATAAGGTTCTCTCTCTACCATTTCCTCATTCATGGAAAAAGTAACTGCAACGTTATTCAATAGAATTGCATGTAATTGGCTTAAAATGGATAGAAAATGATGAGTTATAATGCATAGACCCCGGTGACGACCTCTTCTTTCATTGAAGAGGCTAGCTAATCCTGTGTTCGCGTCTTTTGCTTCTAATGTTTCTGCATCACACAATATTGCTTAAGTAAAACATAGTATTGACTTTGTGTTCCTTTTTTAAGAGAAAGCTGAATTGTCAATAAATATATGCCCTGAAATTAATTTGGTACAATTCCTTCTGCATTTTACTGTGCTTCACATGAATGAAACAGCTGCTAAGGATTTTTATTCTTTATGTTTGAATCAGGCTTCTGGACGTAAAGAAGGAGTGAGATACCTAGTATGGATCCGTTTAAGCCGGGTCAGCAAAATTACAGCTTTTTTCCACAAGAGAGAGAAAGACATACGTATAAAGTATTTGTTTACACGTATAGTGAAGCTCATTGTTGTTGAGCTTTATTGTACACATACAGCTGCCTGTATTTTCTACTACTTAGCAACAACACTGCCTGCATCGAAAGAGGGATACACATGGATAGGGAGCTTAGAGCTTGGTGATTATAAATATTCAAGTTTCAGAGAGATTGATTTTATGAAGCGTTACATAACTTCATTGTATTTTGCCATAGTCACCATGGCAACCGTAGGTAAATAATATATTTTCCTCCATTTCATCGCTGTTTTAGATATCCATTCTTAAAGTTGCTGTATATTTGAAGAAAAATCCTTGCTTTATATTTTTGGTATTCTACTATTAATGTGTATATAAAGTGTTGGAAATTCATATGGACTTAAATGCAAAGTCGGAGTTGATATCTGAGACTAAGGTTTTGAGTTAGGTTGGCACACAACATGTATTTAAATTCCGATTAATTCTGTTGGTCTGGCTAGCCAATAGATGACGTAGTTCACAAATAGTGGAGTTTCCTTCTGTGCTAGTATATCCTAGGTTAAGCATACTTATAATTGGAGCATAATACAATTTGATTGTTTTAAAGATCTGACTGTGTGTTAATTTGCTGGTAGTTTTTTTTTTATTAATTATTATCAATAAAACTCAGGCTCAAGCCTATCCTTGAAAAATGTGGTTGTGCTAAAGCAAGGAACAACATTAGATAAGCTGGTATTGAGATACCAAAAAAATGAATTTTTCTTAGTATAAGGCACTACGAATAATTTCTTGAGGAATTGTGATACTCTCTTCATTTATGATCTTATGTATGCTACTGTTTTTTTTTTTCCTCTACAGGTTATGGAGATATACATGCAGTCAATACCCGGGAAATGATATTCATCATGATCTATGTTTCTTTTGATATGATTCTGGGAGCTTATCTTATCGGTAACATGACAGCGCTGATAGTAAAAGGATCGAGAACAGAAAGATACAGGGATAAAATGAAGGATCTTGTTAAATATATGAATAGGAATAGACTAGGAAGAGGTATAAGGGACCAGATAGATGGACATGTACGGTTACAGTATGAGAGCAACTATACAGAGGCTTCCGTTCTCCAAGATATACCAGCGTCAATTCGTGCTAAGGTGATGTGAATATCTGTGAGAGATTAACAATCCTATATTAAAATAAATAAATAAATATAGAGTAAGGAATTGTTTTTTCTGTTTTTGTTGCTAAAAAGCGTATTTTCTGCAGATTTCACAAAACTTATACAAAGACTACATTGAAAATGTCCCTCTGTTTAAAGGATGCTCCTCAGAATTTATTCATCAGATTGTAAGTTTCTCACAGTTCACTGCTAAACCAACTTATTTCTTATGCATTGACCTGATATTTTTACACATTAGGTGTCATTTCCCTGTAAGAAAATATTTTTTATTTATTTCATCAACTTGATGCATTCAAGCATCGTTCATATAACATGCTCTGAAATTATTCACATTTTCAAAAATTCGTCTTCATATAGTGTATATTCTTTTTGTTGGAACTGGAATGCAAGCCTAGAGGAGGGGGGGTGTTGGGCGCAGCGGATGCAGACAAACAAGATGAGCGAGGAGAACAAAACAATAACCAAAACACAAGTACCACACAACAAGACACCAAATTTTACGTGGTTCGGTAATTTACCTACATCCACGGAGCAATGAGGGGGAAGATTTTACTAATAGAGAGATAGTACAAATAGAGATTACAATCACTCAATAATCTCACCAAATAATCCTAAACAAAGGATCTCACAAAGCTCTCAAATCTCCCACCAATTCTCCCTCTCAAAGTGCTCAAAACAATGCTCCTATTCTCAATAGTAAACCATTGAAACGTCATATTCCTATTTATATCAAAACAACAAACCCAAACCAATCAGGAAACTTAACTGGGCCCAAACCGCATCGCGGTCGACCGGTCATGTCGCCGCGGTCGACCGGCCAGAGGGTCGAAAACTGACCCTGTAAACATAACAGGGTTCGGTCGACCGGGCATGTGCATCCGGTCGACCGGCCAGAGGGTTGATTTCTCAGCCTGTAATCCGGTCGATCGGACCTGTGCTCGCGGTCGACCGTCCCTTGATACCAAATTCCCCTGTTCCTGTGCACGTTTCCGTTCGACCGGACCTAAGCCCGCGGTCGACCGACTAGCACCCAAATTGCCTCTCGCTTTATTTTTCCTGTACTTTTTCGTCATTTTTGCCGTTTCTACAAATCTCCACCTCGGTGAAGTTTTTCCAAAAACTGAGCCGACCTCAATACCAACTATCCCACTTGTTGCGTCCAGTACGAAGTGGAATCAATCCATAACAACAGACTCAATCCACAACAAGTCGGTGATCCAAATGAGAACTCAAACAATCTCCCCCCGTGTGCAATCCCCAAGTTATCAAATAATCCCTGCAACCACAAAACTTCCTTCACAACTTCAGTCAACGTCATATACTCTGCCTCCATAGTAGAAAGAGTCACTGTAGACTGAAGTGTACATATCCAATACACAGGTGCTCCTACTAGTGTAAACACATATCCAGTAGTAGATCGACGCTTGTCAAGATCCCCAACATAATCCAAATCCACATATCCAACACAATCCTGCCTATTTCTCCCATTCTTCTCAAATATCAAACCAACATCCATAGTACCTTTGATATATCGTAAGATCCGCTTCACGGCCTTCCAATGACACTTCCCGAGGTCGTGCATGTGTTTAGACACCATGCTCACGGCCTGTGACAAATCTGACCTTGTACACACCATAACATACATCAATCTACCCACAATACTATATGAAACTTTAGACATGTATTCACGGTCCTCAACTGAAACATGTGATATCTTAGTTGATAACTTAAAGTGAGGAGCTAATTAAGTACTCGCCGCCTTGGCATTACCATCAAAACTGAATTTCTTCAGCATCTTTTGCAAGTAGCTCCTCTGAGTCAACTTCAACCTCCCCTTTACCTTGTCTCTCTCAATTTTCATACACAATATCTTCTTTGCTTCTCCAAGTTCCTTCATCTCAAATTCGGATGACAACTCCTTTTTAAACTTTCTAACAGCTGAAGAAATCCTGAACAATAAGCATATCATCAACATATAGCAACAAATAAATATAATCGCCATTCTGTAGCTTGTGCATGTACACACACGGGTCATATGGGCTCCTCGTGTACCCTTGGCCAATCATGAAACTATCAAATCTCTTGTACCATTGTCCCGATAATTGCTTCAATCCATAAAGAGATTTCTTCAATTTGCATACCAAATCTTCCATGCCTGCAGCTCTAAAACCCATCGGTTGTATCATATAGGTCCCCTCTTCTAAATCTCCATGTAGAAAGGTTGTTTCCATATCCATCTGGACCAAATTCAAATCCAATTGTGCCAACAATGCCAATAATATTCTTATCAATGAATGGTCACAACATGTGAGAATACCTCGTTGTAATCAAATACCCTCAAGTTGGGCATACTCTTTGGCAACCAATCTGGCTTTGTAACGTATGTCCCTATAAGTTGTCTAAAAGTTACTGCATATAGCTAATCCCCATCAAACACCAACAGTAGAAGTTATAATCTGACAACTTCCATATTAATAATTCAATAAGAAAATTCATTGTCAAATAACTTTCACAACTGTAAATGAAGGCTACAATTGTAAGATTTTCACGTAGATCGAGAAAGGTTACAATTCGACAACCTTCACGACAACCGATGAAAGCTCTGATTCAACAATCTTCACAATCTACAGTGAGAGTTACAATCTGATAACTCTCACATTTCAATGAGCTAAGACGAAGATTACAGAACACTGATCTTTACAACGCTCTGATGAAAAGTATTACAAATTCATAATCTCTCTAATCTAATAAACCGCAGAGCTCACCTCTGCGTTTCAGATTACAAACACAGCACGACCATTGCGTTTCAGCCACCAAGGCAGATCCCAACTCTGTATCCCAAGATCAGGACGCAAAGTTCGGGCCCAGAACGTCAATTTTGGCATTTGACTCGTTCAAACACGAGCTGAACGGTTTCAAAATCGTTTTCCCCACGATTTGAGGGGATCACTCCCCCACTTAGGAGCGATTTTAGGGGGGCAGTTACACCCCTTAATCCCCCTATAAATACCTAAAAACTCTACAGAGTTAAGGATCGACCATTTAGCATCCAAAATACCGCATAAAAGAGATCGGCATTGGTGTTCTTGGAGATATCAGGGCGTCTCTCAGCAACAGAAGTTTTTTGTGCTTGGTGCTTGGCTTTAAAATTGATTTTCGGTTCAAATCAACTCTATTACACAGTTTAAAACTCACTCTGAGTTCTTAAACTCGTTAAGATTTCTGTTTAAACTTGCCACGCAAGTTCTCCTTAACATCTAATCAAGAGGATTCAACTATTCTGCGAGGTGAAACGTCAAATTGTCAATGAAAAGCAAACTCGACATGAACATCGAGCGAGACATTCCATCGACACCAGGAAGAATCCAGTTTAAACAAAAGGAAGGATCTCCGTTGATCCCTTCTATCTTTTGTAAATCGTGATTCCGATCGAGAATATTGTAACTTCTTTTTTAAGTCTGTTACAGAGAAATTGTATTGAGAACGTTATAATCATTCTTTATCTAAATCAGTTAGAGAGAATAACACATTTTTGTTCTCAATTGTCTTCTTGCAATTTTCTCACCAAACAAAAGATAGCGACTTCGCTGGGAACTAGCTTCACAGACGAAGAAGTGGTAGCACAATTTGACATCAATCTCATTAGAACAACGGTCGAGACTCTCATCGTGGAATTCGACCAAGACAAGTACAAAGTGTAGGCGTTAAAAATTACCTATGGGTTCCTACACACAGCTTGAGATGGAGAAAAGATGATGACCATTATTATTCGAGTCAAAAAGTATTATCTGACTCTGACAAGCGTATGAAGTGAGTCGACAAAGCTTACGAATCAACGGGACATCGGAATAACAAAGAGATGATCCAATCATGAGTTACGTTTTACTCACGAAAGGCGAAACGCCACTCATGTCTCATCCACTCCATATATGATTCACCTATGAAAGGTTGTAGATTTCTTCATCGGCTTTTCAACTCACTTTGAATCGCATCATTTCGAGATCGGATAAGAAAATTACAGTGAAAACAGTCAGAGCACGCAAAACGGCACCTCGGTCAAAAACCGAGACACAACAAGTGTCTCAGCCAGCCGAGACATAGTTTGTGTCAGACACAGAAGGTGTCTGAGGTCCTAAAAATATTATTTTTTCGCTGTTTCTTCGATGTTAACTGCCCCGATTCTGATCCAACAGCCCCTCAATTGATTTGAACGTAATTTTAATTGAAGTTAAGAGGTTATCGACCATTCTTATCCGAAAACTAAGCCTCTGAAGCCTATAAATATAGCCCTAGGGCCTTCATTTGCACATATCCGGAATTCTCGAGCCTCGGTGAAGCCCTGTCAAACTGAAGAGTGAGGAGCATGAATTTCAGAGAGGAGAAAGAGATCTCGGCGAGCCATTCAGCATAAAGAGGAAGAGTTTAAGAGAGCTGCATTTGTTCATCCATTTTCTTAATATTGTACCTAGCTGCGATTCTCGAGAAGAGTGATTATCTCGCTTTGTCGAGATAATTACTTTAGTTTCTTGTCTTCTTTGCATGGCAATGAAACTTATATTTGGATCTGATCAGTCGATGGTCCACGGATAAACCCCGGTACAGGCCAAGATCCCACGCAAGCAGCGGGTGATAAACATCCGTTATATGTGTTTTAAGAGAGTTGTAATCTTTTATTTTTATTGAGTTTATTATAATGACTGAAGTTATAATGAGTCCACTAATGAAAGAATCAATTTTCCACCAAAATATGTTGGCGACCACAATGAGAGTCAACATCCTCGCTGCCGAGGCTGTCGTGTCGTAGTCGCTGATCAAGATCCATGTGGATGAAGAGGTCGAGTATGAATTCGATCAACAGAAGTTCGAGGAGTACGTCTCCTCCTCCTCCTCTTCCTCTCCCTGCAAGTGCAAGAGGACCACTTCCCTGAAGAAGGTTTGTTGGTCTTCAGATCTGAAGACTCAGGTTGATAATCTTCACCTGAATGCTACTGAAGCCTCCTCTTCGGCCTCCAAAAAAGCCGGATCTGATGTTCGTGACAACTCCTCAAAGGTCAAGGAGTTGCCCATTGAGGGCGCACCAGTGCTAACGAAGAGGGCTCGTCAGAGGCGCTGCCAACGTCTTGCCTACCAATTCGCTAAAGCTTTGGAGCATGTGGACGGAATCCAC